TGGCGGGCTAGCCCCCCCCCACCGCCCGGAAGACCGAAATGCCTGGAGGGGGGTACAGGCTAATTCGTTTTTGCTAGTCAAAAAATCCCTTTTTTCTATTGCGGCCCCCCCAAATTTCTGGCTGCGTCACTGTCAGAAATACAAACAAATATTGTCAAAATATATATTCTATTGAACAAAATAGATATATTTCATTTATTATTAATTATCTATAGAATAACACTCTAAACGCATCTCTGTTAAAAGTAAACTTCAAAATACAATTAAGTAATATTCACAAGGAACAAATTCTTCTTTTAATACACTCAGAATATTTTTTATCAGAGAATTACAAAATACTATTCTAATTTCAAGTAAATTCTAAAGTCGCCTGACATAAAAATTTTTAGAAATCTCTTGAAGTCTACTATTTCCGCCTCGATTTGTATATATATATATTGTTCGTTTTTAAAATGTAGATTTTTATTTTAGAATAAATATAGAAAATCAATATTTTGAATATAGACTTACTATTTATAATGTAACATTTGAAGATGAAACAGATTTAAATGTTACTATTAGTTCATCAAAATTAAAAAAGACAGGAATTATTAAACCGAATATAATTGGTACGAAAAATGGAGATATTAATAGGTTATTTTTGTAACTTTTTTTTTATAAGGTTATCCTATTGGTCAACTATCATTTATTTCTGAACAAACACCATTTTCTATTTCATGGCGTAATGAAAATAAATTAAATATTTATTCTTATGGTATCTTTCAAAATGAATCATATCGTATTGTTTGTACAATTCGTCATCGTTCCGATATAAAAGGACCATTAAATATATTTATTCAATATTCTAAATGTTTAATTGATAATTGTCTATCGAATTTAATCTATGAAACATGTCAAATATCATCAAATAAAAATTTAATCAGTACCATATCGAATCATATAAATAATTATCAGACACAATTTATAAGTAGTAATTTTCATTTACTGAATAATCCATCAATTGGTCATAATTATTTATGTTGTTATGAACAAAATGGTTTAATTAGTATCGCTAAAGCAACAACAGTTTTATCATGTAAGATAATATTGAATTTCTTATAAGAATAAAAATAACCTTTATTTAAAGATAATCGTAATATGTTTCATATCAATAGACCAGAATCTAGTTTAGTTACAGGTAATGTTGTAACATACCGTTGTGAAGGTCATGAATTAATATATAATGATCTACGTATGATTTATCATGATGGTTTATTAACATATGAAAGAAATCAATTTGATCATGAATGGCATCTTAAAGGAACTAATCAAATAAAACAAGTTGATATTGATTGGAATGCAACAATGAAGTAGTAAATTACATATTTTTGAAATTTGTTTTTCATTTTTTTATCATATTAGTGAATATATTCGAAGTACAACAATTGAAATAAAAACATCACCATTAGGAATAAATGATAATAATAAATATATTCAATGTATTGGTCTATCAAAACAACCAAATTTTATTTCGAATATTCATGATACATATATTATCGATGTAGATGGTAAATTGCAATTAAATTTATCGATTCCTTTTTTTTAAATTTAATTCTCTGTAGATTCAATACCATTAAAATTTAAAAATAATTTACAAACAGTATCTAAATTAGATCGAAAACCAGGTGATAATGTTGAATTTGATTGTAAATTTAATGGAAGACCAAAACCAAAAATACTTTGGTTAAAAGGAAATTTACCACTGGTTAATCATGATTGGACATTACAATTTGGAGATAATAATGAAAGGTAGAAAAGAATTTTTAGTATTAAGGAGAATTTTTCCTCTTTTCCGATATTGATAAGAAAAATTTTTTCGATTTTAAGGATAGCTTCGAAGTGTCGTCTGCCAAATGAGAACTTTTCATTGCTAGTTAGTACTCTTATTAAGTCCAACTCTCGAAACTCTTAGCAGAAAAACTTGCACTGCGTTTATTTTTTTGTATGCAAAATTCTTCTAGTGATAATTTGTAAAAGTGCTTAGCAGAGAGCATGGGTCATGGGTCTCTAATGTCGCTGAACACGATCAGTTTTCGATCACTTTAATGGGAGAAAAAAGTCTTGATACATACAGGAAAGTTTGTTTTGTGTTTTTCTGAAAATCATTTCTTGCACAAAAAAAAAAAACGAAGTTTTTCTCCTTTTCTCCCACACGGTACGTCTGATTAAATTCAAGTTCTTTATGGCCACATTAGTCAAGCTAGGGGGAGTGTTTTTTTCTTTAAAACATTGTTCCTACGAAATTCAACAGCCTTTCAAAAATAAGTACCGTTAAAAAACCTTTATTTTGACGGTTCTTCGAATATTTGACTTCTTCTGAAGTTTAGGGACGACATTTTTGAAACAAAAAAAAAATACGCACCCTAATTTTGATGCTAATAATTATCATGAAAAAATGTTGCTCGAAAAAGTGAAGTATAGAGCTTTGCAAGGAAGAAACTCCTACCCATTTTTGATCTTTGCAATCCCTATATCTTTCTGAAGGACGTATCTGAAAATGCTGCGTCTATGACAACTTTTGCTCTACTTATCGAGATCCCTGTCTTGAATGGTTCATCATTTTTCGTCTGGCCGTTCCCGAGAAATCCTAAAAAGTAAGGAGGTTCCCTTAATCATTTTGACTAGATTATAAGAATCGAAAGTGTAACTACGTATACCTAATTATTAGTCTTTTGGTAATCGACTATGAAATCTATTTCATTTGAAAATAATTTCATATCAAAATCATGACCTGTTTAGATTAAGAACAATAGCATTTTTTATTCAAGAAAAAAACGAACATTTTTAATGAGTTCATAATACATTCAAATCGGAATAAAAATGTATTTCATTCATGATTAGAATTCCCTCAATTTACAGCAGAATAAGACTGTTCGGTATAATGAAATCTATTTCTATGTTAGTATTTCAATTACACGTGTTCAAGCTTCTGATACTGGTGTTTATACATGTAAGTTAAACGATGATCACGATTTACAACTTGAACGAAGTTTTAATTTACGTATTGAAAGTAAAAGCAAACCTTCAATATTGTTTGTATTCTTTAGTATCTTTGTTCAGGTACTAATTCATATGCTAAACTCAGCTATTTAGTTATTATATTTATTGTTATATCTATTTTAATTCTTCTTCTTATTCTAATTTTATTAATAATTCTTTCTATAAAATATTTTCAAATGAAACAAAAAGTTAATGGAAGTATTTTTTATGAACAGCAACCTATTGGTTCAGTAGATCCATCTCAACCAGTAATAAGTCAATTAACTCGAATTTCATTACCAGATAATTTTGCTTCAACACAACAAATTCGTACATTTCTTAGTTATGTTAATGGTGATCATTTACCATTAGCAAAAGACGACTTTAAAGAATTAGGTCGTGGTCAATTTGGTGTTGTTTATCAAGTACGTTTACCAGAAGTTGGTCTTGTTGCAGCTAAAATTTTATCTGAAACAATACGTCGAACAAAACCTCGTCGAAAAAAACGCAAAAAAATTCATTATTTTGAAGAAAATGAACAAATGATATCACAACATGAAATACGAAAGAAAAAAGTTGTTGTAATGTTAATTGATGAAATAAAACTTATGCATAAAGCTGGCAAACATGTAAATATTGTTGCATTAAAAAAAGTTGCTTATCCTGAAACTAAATTAAAATTTTTATTTATTGGTGAACCTATTCGAGATGAAGATTCATTTTATTTAATGGAACTCTGTTCAAATGGTTCACTTGAATCTATGCTTAAATATTTTCTTCAATCATCATTAAATTCTACATGTAAGAAATTATCATTATATGAAACACTTTCAAAACAAACAAAACCAGGAATGACAATTCAACAAGCATATGAACAATGTATTTTAACAGATGATGATTTAAAATTAGTTGCTTATCAAGTTGCTTGTGGTATTGATTATTTAAATCGAAGACAAATAATTCATTGTAATATTGCACCAAGAAATGTCTTAATGAATTCAAGATTTATTATGAAAATATGTGATTTGGGGTAGGAGATTTTTATATATGAATTTCTAGATTTATTTTAATAAATAAAACATTAAGTAGTTTAGCAACATGGACAATTTATAAAAATTATCGTGAACAACCTGCACAAAATGAAAGTGAACAACTTGAAAAGAAAAATGTATGTATGCAAAATTAATATCTCATGAAATATAATTTTGATTGACTTTTAATGTTTACAGGAAAACTTTCTTTTGATCACTAAACGCATTAATAGGATAGGGGTGATAGAAGGCTAGTGTTTATGAGTAATACATAGTGTACTTACCTCAAAAAGATAACTGATCGATAAGATAAAGTTAAATAATAATAGTAATTATCTCATATGATCAAAATCATCCCATTAACATTATGCATTTATAAAGAATGAGTGTGAGTGTCGGTGAATAGAAGATCTAGATCCCCGCCCCAATTGGACTTAAGAGTCCGCCATTTTCGAGGTTTCTAGATAGAATAAACCATCAAGCAAGTTTGAAAAGTTCAGGACAAGTAGATCTTGATAACTAGAGAAAAATTCTTCATTCCAGATATTGTCTTTTATGAAATAGTAGAATCACCATGGCGAAAAATGTCCCTTTCCCATTTCTCAGAGATGCAATGTTCGATCGAACTGAAAATTTTTTATTAGACGCTAGATACTATTTGGGTCAAGTGTTTTTATAATTTTTGTTCTTCGAATAAAAAGCCAAGATTTCGAAGATATCTAAAACAATGCATGTGTTTTTGAAAGGAGATACCACATATCAGCAGAACACAATTTTTTGAACCAAAAAGATGCCCATTTCAAACAATGTATGCTAAATGTGAAAAAAGTTTCAACTCGATCGGATGTACTAGACCCGAGGAACCAGGGATGTTTCTTCGTTTTTTTCCAATAAAACAGTTGGTTTCAGAAAAATGCGATTCACTATTTTCATTACATAAATTGATTTTTTAATCTTTAAAGACAACTTTTTCATGTCAAAATGTACTCAATAGATAGATACTACTTCAGGCTATATAACGATTACAAAAGAAAAACTAAAATTTTGGATCACGAAAGAAGGAGTACGGTTTTAGATAGATGATAGACTATTGTAAGTTCTTGTCATACACCTGGTATGATCTATAATCAAAAAAAGAATTTATATTCGGAATCAGTCTATGACAAATAAATGTGTTTTAAGATTCGATTTTTGATTGATCTTGTCGAAAATAATTAAACTTTATATTAAAGAAAATCTTTTAGTTGATTGTACAGCAATGTCAGAAGAAACTTTCTTTTTTAAATAGATCGAAATCGCAACACATAATTTAACACCAGAACTTGCTAAAGCTTTTATACGTGTCTTAAATCCTGATGAACGATTAATATTGAATAAATCATCGACTAAATCTGATGTGTAAGTTAATTTATTTATTTCTATTGACTTTTCTATGAGTTTAAAATATAGATGGTCATTTGGAATATTTCTTTGGACATTATTTCTTAAATGTAAGTATCTGAATTAGTTTTGTATTTTTTGGTAAAAATATCATTTTAAGGTCGAATTCGACCATTTAATAACTTAATGGAAGAAATACGAAATAGATCTTCTGGAGAAAATTTTTTTCATCAACTTGCGTGCATTATCAGTGAAGGTCATGTTCTTCAATACATTGATTATCAACCAGAAATTCCTCGAAATATGTAAAAATATCTTGTGATTTGTTTTCTATAAATAACTTATTAATTGTTCAATAGTTATGCAATTATTCGTGAATGTCTTGTTGAAGAAAATCGTCGACCAGAAATGACACGAATTCGTGCTCTTTTTTGTCATTCAAAAATGTTATCAAAACAAGCTTTTGCAGTATTTCTTTCTTTTTATTCCATATAAAGTTCAGTTATTTGCTTGTTTTTTCTTCTTTTTAGTACTATCGATTAGAGTATAATCGATATCAAGAAGAAAATGCAATAGATGGACATGGTGAATGTTTTGATGAAGATCAAGGCACTGATGATCTTTCATCATTTGATGTTGATGATGTAACTGATAGTATTAATACATCGCAAAATCCTTATCCCAATAATGATACTACTTTTCATTCAACAGCAAAAGATGATGCGTATCAATCTACAATAGATGATTCCCAACAAGCAAGAGATTCATATTTTACATCTACCCATAATAATCAACAAATAGATGCTGATACTAATAACTCAGAAAGAATGACAAATAAATCAAAATTTCCTCAGGTTCATCTAAATATTTGGCATCATCAAGAACAGCACCAATTTCACCGCCATCTATAGACTAAATATTAGCTGACAGTAGTATTTAACATATGCGGTTCTTATTATGCTATGACAATTTTTATTCTTATGATGACATTTTTTTTGTTATCTAACCAGAGCTTTTTATAGTGCTGCTCTGTGATGTTATTCATTATTTAGTTTGTCTTTTTATGAAAATTTATTTAATAAATCTGTTTGTTTTTTAGTTTAATAAAATAAAGATAAATATTATTATCAAACTGTGTATTGAGTGAATTTATTTTTATTGTTTGAATGTTAATTTTATTTTATTTTGTAAACACATGGATCAAATGTTTCTTTTTTTTGATTCAATCTCTTCTAATGCCGAGCGTATGTGGTATAGAACCAGAGTAAAATATCTAGAATAAAAAGAGTAATTGAATTGAAGATACTTCTTAAAGAAGAAAGACAAGAACAGTTAGATATTTAACGAAACTTATGTTAAGTGAATGTGTGTTGATTGCTTCGAAAATGACGTACTAGCATCCAGTTGAATCATGAAATCGTTAAATTAAAAGTTTCCACATAAAATCAAGTGAACTCGGGTCCATCTGTTTTAGATGTTAGCTGATCTTTAATCTTCCCGATTCTTCACTTCTACTGTCGTCATATTAATTTATACGATTTATATTTACAATCTATAACTATAGACGATCAAGTAGACGAAGCTGATCAATGTGATAGCAGCCAAGAACAATGACAAAGTAAAATCGCGTATTCTAGAGATGTATCTTTATTCTGTCTTCTGTTCGATTTTTTTTTCTTTCAACATTTTCCTATTCGGAGTTTTTGTTCCTGTACGTTCTCTATTCATTCTTACTCTGCAAGATTTCCAAAAAACTTAAAATAGAAAATGACGGATTTTTTAGATTTTCAGAATTCTTTCGTACTTCCAAGACTAAGGATGCCAAGTTTATTATCACAATTTCGGAATTTCAAGAATCCATCACTTTCCCTTGGTTGTTTACTTGTCGACCCATCATCTCGAATACGTTCATTCATAGGATTTCGAAAAAATGAAACCAATTACATAAATACAAAGAATTACGAAGTTATCTTTTTCAAGCATGAAACTGATTTTCAACTTTTATTCATTATCAATTTATAAAATCTCTATTCACTTTTCATATCTACATGTTTCTTAATGCACCCACACATACATGCATATATATATATATTTATATGCCGACTTGTCATTCAAGTTTTTCAATTAAATTTAAAATGAGAGTTTGAGAACGAGTGTTCCATAATAACTGTGGATAAAGTCTCAAAGATATTTTTCATAATTTTTCCTTGACGTAGATGGTTGCCATGAACGAAAAACAAAAAAAACTCATAATTTTATTAATGATTTATTTCAAACCAGTCTATATATGAGAGTTGGAAACGGACCGGCCTGTATGCTGATTGCCAGTACGATTGAACCTTTAAAACCAGTTAGTTTTTACTCAATTGACAAAATCCTAGTCATCATCAAAACACAAGCTCTAAGCCTTGAGCTCACGAGTTCTCATTGTATGATAAGAACCTCGGATTATGATCAACGAATTAACTATGACCGGGAAAAAATGAGTCAGCCATATGAAGTAAAATTTCGTTTAAAGTAAAAATTTTTCAGCTTCAAGATGTCAAGGTCACTTTTCTGCACTACTTTTAATCAACTGTCATAAAACCTCTAAGACTAGTACTTTTCAATTTATCCTTTTGATACAATAATATTGGAAAAGTTTCTGTTGTATTGAGAAAATTTATGCGAATCATTAATGTTTTGCAACTGTGGAAATATATAGGCATCAAGAAACCTAAAATTATGAAGTCTAGTATTGCAGTAGTACCCTTTTACGAATCAAGAAATCTATCAGTTGCGCCAAGTAATGATTTTAAATAAGAATGGATCAAACTTATCAATACTTATAAAGAAACTCCAGCTTCACTAGAGAAAGTCAAGAAAAAAAGCATAGATATTGTTCAATATCAGTTGCTGTAAGCTACTACATGAAAATGTTATATAGGGAGGGTGTGGGTAAGGGTTTTCTTTCAGCAATCCTACATTCACACTCAATTCGTTTCTTATAAATAGACTTGATGATCGACTGTATATAATTAGTTGACATTATTTGCAATATGAGAGAAAATAATCGAAATTTCAACCAGATTTGATAATCAACAAAATCCATAATTCATTTCTTTATTTATTAAATATTTACAGTTTTGCATTAATACAAATATTGAATGCAATCAATTTCATTTTTATGACAACAACTAGAAATTAGTTAAATAATTCTAATTTTAACAAAAATACAAATAAAAATAAACGAGTTCATTTTTATACAAAGGAATAAATTATTTGCTATCATTATCAATTAACAAAAAGAGATTATTGAAAAAAAAAAACACCGACAGCGAATGATTCAACAATATTGTCCTTCTACCCATTAACTTTTTGTATCTACCTACTACGCACACTATATTGATATATATAAATGTGTGCATTATTTTTTCTTTCTAGTATATCTATTTCTGTTGAAATTATAATATAAGATAGATAATATATGTATTAAATTGTGTAAGAAAAAATTTTTATCGATTACTAATTCAAACAAGGGAAATGAGTCAGTCGTATATTTGGCAATTTCCTACGATACAGTCAATCGATCAATGAGTAATATCTCTCTTTTTTTTCACAACTTGCTTTTGAATTTCGTTGATTCTGACGCATCAAACAAGCAAAACAGGTGTGTGTTATGACTTCTTCTTTCTCGCTATAATTGCTTGCGGCATGTACATACTCACTGCTATGTTGGAAAAAAAACCTGGAAGCCAAGAACAAGATTCATCAGTTCTATTTATGATTCTTCGTCTTTCGTCTCATTATATGACGATGCAATTATTCATTGATTTTCGCTCTCGTTCTTCCTTTATTGCATAACGCAAAGAGACACTGTCGTCCTCGTTTCATCAGTACTCTTCAAACAAATAAACGAAAACAAATCCTTGTAGTGACAAACAAAATGCATGCACATCTATAACATTCGACCAAAAAAAAGTATCAACTAAAATAGAAACTACAATAGATATATGTAGAGACAAAGCTGCATTTATTGCATTCATTCCTCCATACATCATCCATCTATCATGGGTAACAAAAGCTCAACAATAACTACTGCTAATCGTTCATCCTCCTTATCTATTACAAATAAACTGAAGAAATCGTTATCATCACCGTTGCTTGCCACTAGTGGATCAACAGCAGCCACCAGCAACAGCACTGCCGTACTGCCTCATTCTGCCCAGCGTCTTCTACAAAATTTCCTTCTCATCTGGCTCGATACTAATATTGATGAGTCAAAGGAAGATTTTAAAAACTCCTTAAAACATCTACGGCATGTTGTGGCATTAACCACAATATTTACTAATTCTCAAGAATGTCTTAATTTTCTTAGTGAAATAAAAAAAGAAAAAGTATTTATGATTGTTTCTGGCTCAATTGGCCGACATATTGTACCAGAAATTCATTCATGGCCACAATTGGATTCCATTTATGTGTTTTGTGGCAATCAGTCTCCCCACGAAGAATGGACCAAGAAACTGTTTAAGGTGAAAGGTGTTTACACTGATATCGAGCCGATTTGTAAAGCCTTACAAACCGATCGTGAACGATGCGATCAAGCTATGATCTCAATCAGTTTTCGTGATATTGATGCATTGTTTATGTATACACAATTATTTAAAGAAGTTCTTTTAGAAATCGATGATGACGACACTAAATCCATCAAAGAACTTGTTGAGTACTGTCGTCTTCAAAATGATATTGCTGAAGATGAAATTAAAAAGATTGAACAAGAATATCATCGTTACACACCAATTTGGTGGTACACCGCACCATACTTTATCTACTCGATGCTCAATCGAGGTTTGCGTGTACTTGATGTCGATATTATACTCAAAATGGGTTTCTTCATTCGACACCTACATCGACATATTGAAAAATTATATCACGAACAACAATCTACGAAGACAGCAACGACAAGTCCATTTCAAGTATTTCGAGGACAAGGCTTATCTATCCAAGATTTTGAGAAAATGAAACGAACAGAAGGAGGACTTATGTCGTTTAACAATTTCCTCTCAACAAGCTGCGATCGTAATATTTCCCTAAAAACTTTTGCACGTCCTGCAGCACTCAATCCTAATTTGGTTGGTATACTCTTTGTTATGACCATCGATCCGGCACTTTGTGCAGCATCATCAACCCCTTTTGTCAATGTCAAAAATGTCGGCTATTTCAAAGGTCAAGAGCAAGAGATTCTTTTTTCGACACACACAATTTTTCGCATTGATCAAATTGAACGGATCGAAAACAAACGTACTAATCGTCTATGGCAAGTTAAGCTCACTTTTACGGGCAGCCAAGACAGTGACTTAAATAAACTTGCGGTACACATGCGTAAGGAGCTTCGTTTCACATCAGGATGGTCTCGACTGGGCCATATACTAATAAAAGTAGGAGAGTCTGTAAAAGCAGAACAACTCTATCAGCTACTCCTGGAAAAAGCGTCTTCTGATGAAGATCTAGCGGATTACTATCATCAACTTGGTTGGGTATATGACAACATCGGTGAGTATTCGAAAGCACTTTCACATTACGAACGTGCACTTGATATCTCAAAAAAAATTCATTCTTCTAATCATGCCGATTTGGCTTCTTCCTACAACAATATTGGTAATGTGTACTACAACAGAGGCGAATACTCAAAAGCACTTTCATCACACGAACGAGCACTGGAAATTAAGAAACAAACTCTTCCTCCAAACCATCTCGACTTAGCTGCTTCCTACAGCAACATCGGTTTGGTGCATTATAACATGGGCGGGTACTCGAAAGCACTTTCTTTTTACGAACAGGCTCTCGATATCCGTCAAAATACCCTCCCTCTTAAACATCCTGATTTGGCTACTTCATACAGGAACATTGGTTTAGTGCATTATAACATTGGCGAGTACTCAAAAGCGCTTTCATTTTACGAGCGAGCACTTGATATCTCAAGAGAAACTCTGCCTCCGAACCATCCAGAATTGGCTGCTTGCTATAACAACATCGGCTTGGTATATTATAGCATAGGCGAATACTCAAAAGCGCTTTCATTTTACGAGCGAGCACTTGATATTTCAAAAGAAACTCTGCCTCCGAACCATCCCGAGTTAGCTGCTTGCTATAACAACATCGGTAATGTTTACAACAACACCGGGGAGTACTCCAAAGCACTTTCATCGCACGAACAGGCATTCGATATCCGCCAAAAAACACTCCGCTCGAGCCATCCCGACTTGGCTGCTTCGTACAACAACATCGGTAATGCATATTATAACATGGGCGAGTACTCTAAAGCACTTTTATCGCACGAACGAGCACTTGATATCCGTCAAAAATCTCTTCGTCCGAACCATCCTGACTTGGCTGATTCTTATAGCAACATTGCTAATGTATATTGTAACAGAGGTGCGTATTCGAAAGCACTTTCATCACACGAGCGAGCACTGGAAATTAAAAAGAAAATTCTCCCTTCGAACCATCCAGACTTGGCTACTTCTTACAACAACATCGGACAAGTCTACAAAAACATGGGCGAGTACTTGAAAGCACTTTCATTTCTCGAGCAAGCATTTGATATCCGCCAAAAATCTCTCCCTCCAAATCATCCTTCCTTGGTTACTTCCTACAACAGTATTGGTAGTGTGTACTATAGTATGCGAGAATACTCGAAAGCACTTTCATCGTACGAACGAGCACTTGATATCTCAACAAAAACTCTCCCTCTGAACCATCCTGACTTGGCCATTTCATATAACAACATTGGAGAGGTGTACAACTATATGGGCGTATACTCGAAAGCACATTCATACTTTGAACGAGCACTCGATATCCGCGAAAAGTCTCTTCCTCCAATGCATCCACATATTGCAGAATCGAAAAGAAACATTGCACTTGTCAAAATGAAATTGTAATTGTGTTGTTTTGCTATAGGAACTTGCGTTCCTTTTGTTTTGGATCAATAAAAAGTCTTTTCTGTACACTATTCATATCTATGCGCGTGAGGAGAGAAACCTTTGGACCATGTTCGAATAGTATAGTGAAGGCTGCTTACAACAATCGGACAACTATACATATATCTGTAGTATACGAGATGATGGCAAGTATATATATGTACGGCAAAAGCGTCTCTATACACTCCTTTACAAGTTACCAACAGGACGTTGAATCTGTTTGGTAGTGCTGCAAAGCTACCCTTTAAGCTTTTATGAAAAACAAAAGTTAGAGATTTGGAGAGAGCAGAAGCAATTGAATAGTGTGGATAAGTAACTTTACCGTCGGATGAACGATATGATTGAAATTAATCGCTTATGATAGCATATGTCTTTACACATTACATTTTAGCTATAACGATTATGAATAGTTCCAATTAGATGACTGTCTGTTCCTCTTAGGTTCTACATTCGTAACGGCAATAGAGATCGAGTGATAGGAAAGAAAAAACATCTCGACAATCATGAACTTTTTTGGTTACGGCATTTAGAAATGAAAAGTAAAATAGAGTATGACGATTGTATGAGAAAACTATTTTAAAAATATCTCATCTTTTCATTTCTTTTGATTGCTTTAAATTCAAACACGTTACTGTTTAATCCTTTCAGGACTGGATGGCACTATAGTGGCCTCTGATTGTTTTTGAACAGAGAGAGGCACTATGCATTGACGATCGGAAATAGCTGTGTATGCGTTAGAGTATGTTCATTGTAGTGACATATACCCAATGCTACTTGTATGATCAATCCTCATTTTCTCTCTTTTCTACCTTGCATTAACCCATCACACTGTGTCATTTTGATTTCTTCTCTTGCACATACAAATGAGCATGACTTGAATAAAAGGAGACTTTTAGCTGGTGTCATTAGTTGTGTATCATCTTTTTCTTTCTATCACTTTCGTGTCGTCATTATATATGTGTATTCCATCCATATTTTCTGTCCTTCTGGTGTTGTGTGTAGATATGTGTACGTTCTCTTTTCTAGTATGTTCAGGTATATTCGTTTTCTTTCTCTTTCTTTTTCTTTGAATCATGTATGTTGTCTTTTGTATTTTCTAATAAATTCTTTTCTCTTTATTATCTTCTAGTGATTTCGTTCCCTTTTCGCGCTCTTCTCTCTCTCTCTCTATATATATATATCTGTTGCTTAGAATAATATGATAAGATAACAGTTCTCTTTGGCTAATAGCTGGTTGGTGATCAACTCCTTCCACAAGAGATACATTAAAAAAATTAGTCGCTATCACCACTGATTCCGTCTTACTCATTCTATTGTTTGTTGAATACACATCATGGCTGCAATCAAAAACAAACGAAGTACAGAAGAGAATGAAATTCACATGACTCTTGAGTCTGATAGTGATTCCGACATGTATGAGGATTGCAACAGTGAAGAATTTGGCCATGAAGATGATTCATCTATGCTAAACAGATCCTGGAGAAATAGCTATTTTACGCCTCGTGCATTTGAATTTACGTCACAGGCTGGTATAGATTTGGAAATACTCGACTTGGGAAATGAATCTCCATTGGATTTTTTTAAAGTGTTATTTGATTAGTCTGTATTGGAACGAATAGTGAATGAAACAAACAGATATCAGTCATTTTCAAACACAAGTCTTTCAAATCCGTCCACTTCTCATCAGGAAGCGTGGGAGGACACAACTGTTCCTGAAATGTATTCATTTCGGGCCATTGTGATGCTTATCCCTTTACGGCCGAATGTTGCTTTTTGGCAACATTTTGCCAATATCATCTTAGGATTTATTTTAAAGTGACGAGATATAGTTCCTTAAGCGATCTGATAATTAATTACACGTATTTTAGGGCAAACCTATGCCTTTTCAAGAAAAAAGAAAGGTATTGTTGACGAGAGAGACGAAATCTCCCGCCAACACCCAAAATAGCCCTCGAGTCGAAACGATCCGTNACGCCGATGGTCCCTACGAACAAATATCCCGTCATCAACAACGTACCAACACTTCCAATAATATCGTACACAATGCGCAGATAACTACAGGTCCACGCACCTAAAAGACGACTCTTGCCGAAGCATTTCGCTACCCAAGCATACTTCCGCATAGTGGTCTTTCAGAATCCAAGGATACATCTTAGAGTGTCACATCAGTACTCAAGGGTACGCCGCTATAGCAGCACTTGAGGACCAGAAGGCATCCCCATCTCGTGCGATTTGAGAACCCAAGAGTACCCCATAATAGTAGGACTTGAGGACCCAAGGGTGCTCCCCAACAGTAGGACTTGAGGACCCTAAGCTACTGGCTTGATGATGCTAGACACTCACTTTACCGTTCCCAGATCGTCATCCGGGAGCAATAACCTCCCAATCCTAGCTCTAAGCCTATGACAAACTACCGTAAAAACATAAGCCAAATCATCGATTTTGAAAGTTCAATTTCCTTTCATCCTATCATGTGGATAATTGCTGAAGCAGTTCTTTGGATGCATGAGGAATCATGAAATCAATCTTAACTTTACCTAAATTTCGGCTCAGAATACAGTATTTCTGGAGATAGTTCACTTTTAGGATTTTTGCAGATCCTCAAACTTTCGATCAATTACTCTGCTATTTGAGATTGGTTGGTATGAAGCTCGCAACTCTTTTGCTTTTGCATGACATCCGATTCTTTTTACAAGCTGACTAAAAATGACTGCAAGGAAAACTAAACCCGAACTCGACCTAGCAGACCGAACCCGAACCCGAACCCTAACCACGAACCCGAACCGAATCCAACCGAACCCGAACCCGAACCCGAACCCGAACCCGAACCCGAACTCGGACTCTCAGACCGAACCCGAACGTTCGGGTTCGGTGCATGCCTAGTCATAAGTGAATTACTCACTGTGATGCCAAACATTCTGCCATTCTTATCCATGCATTAGCATTGATAAAAATGTAAAAAATTTTCAGTATATAGAACTTTAACGAAATATTTTTTTTCTGTCAGACAATGAGAATGCAAGTAGCTACTACTTGTCTTCAGTCATTCCGATCAACATACGACTGAAGTTGAATAGGGTAGGTGTGCATACGGGTGGGCGAGATTTGTTTTTGTTGATGCGTTGTTTATTTGTGACGCTCTGAAGTGCTTACACAATGGGGAAAAGTACAAAAAAAGCGAACGAAGAAAGAGGGAAGTAGACAATCAGAAAAAGGAACAATGGAACAGAAAGACACGAGAATAATATTTGCAAATACTTTATATCCTTATTCAGATCGAGTCTGTTATATATGAATATATATAAAGGACTAAGAAATTGAGGATTTTTATTTTCTATAGAGCGCTGATATGCTGAAAGCGGGGATAATCAATTGTCGTGAGCAAATTCTAGCCATATTGTAGGTAGTGACTTATGACTTTTTGTCATGTCTTTTACTGTTTGTTGCTGAAAGTAATGGCCTAATCCATCATTTTTTCTTTTCTTGAAATCAGTCCAAAAGGTTATATCCTCAATATCCTCAAAAAAGAGTGACGATGACAGATTCGATTTGTACACCCTTTTGAGCCTCATGAGAATATACTTTTTAACATAGTGATCTAATTCTATTTCATGCGTAAAAGTGTGAAATTCATCGGCTCGTATCCATGCGCAACGATGAAGTAACTTTAGCCCGGCTATGTATTTTTTCCTTAACATCTCTTGTTGTGTAGTCAGATGGAAGAAACAAAAATACAAAAGAGCCAAGAGAAGAAGGGAAATGAGTATATGAGGAAACACTACTTCAAAACTTCGGTGAAGATTCTACTGTTACGCTTCAGCCATTTTAATTAGTGTATGACCTTTGGACCTTTTCTAGACAATTAACTATTCCATAGACTGAAAGGATAGGGTCTACAAATTAGGGGGGTAAAAGTTCAGCTTTAGTTCTGAGCGAAGGAACTGTTCGACACGCTCATAATTAGGAGCTGATTGGTTTGAACAGCTCCTTTCAAAAGAGCTGATCTGATAAACAGTTCTCGTTCCTGAACTGAACTTTTTCAACAGCTCCTTTCAAAAGAGCTGAACTGATCGAACAGCTCTCTTTCCTGAACTGGACTTTTTCAACAGCTCCTTTCAAGAGAGCGGATCTGATCGAACAGCTCTCTCTCTCAAAAACTGATTGACATTATGCCAAAAATACTATCCAAAATCTTTTTGAATTCACTTTAAATAACATATACAATTTTTCAAGGGCCATCTTCGGAAGTTCTTTATAGCTTTCCAAAAATTACTAAAAGATAGTAAGTACCTCCCGAAAAATTGTATATGTTATTTAAAGTGAATTCAAAAAGATTTTGGATAGTATTTTTGTCATAATGTCAATCAGTTCTTGAGAGAGAGAGAGCTGTTCGATCAGATCAGCTCTTTTGAAAGGAGCTGTTCAAACCAATCAGCTCCTACCGAAATGAACGGTCGAACAGCTTTTTCGCTCAGTTCAGCTGAAATTTTGAGCTGATGCACCCCTACTCAACAATTGATATGTTTTAGCAGCAACGGAGAATCAATGAATTTGATCTTCGTTCGAAGACAAACTATCAATACTATTAATAGGTCATTTCGAGCCACTGACTGTAATTATGATTTTGAATATGATTAAATGGTTTTGAGTAGAAATGCTAATCAAACAAACCATATAAAGCAGCAACCCAATCGTATTTTCAAGGTATTGTTTTTTTACGGTGATCTTTCTATGACGTTTTTTTACATAGATTCTCTACATTGTATATTTACGATATGAATAAATAAAAGCTTATTTTAACTTCCGTGTAACTGTCAACTAAAGAGTCACAAGTACCCATCATAGCTCTGACATGAATTCTTCACACTTAGAAACTAGAAGTTCTCTTCTGCAACATTTATATTATCGTTCACTATGATGTTATTATACAATAGTGTTGATGAGATCACGTTTCGGTAGTTTTGAGGCAAGAAAAGATTTCGACATGTATTCATCTTATAGAAGACGGAACGGATTATGTCTATGAGAGCCCTCACCCTCGAGTAAGACTGTGAAAATCCAATGACCTATGCATACATCAAAACTTACACGCACAACTATGAATGATTTTCGATATTGAAACCCTTGACAAAAGAGTTACAAGTAATATTGACATTGATTGCATTATGTGGTACTGCTGACAAACAATATTGATCAAGATAAGAACAAAGTAAAGAGCGATGCCTCTTGTTTTTTCTGTATGTGCTGCATTTTGTTTCCCATTGTTGAGAAATTTTACGATTATTTTTTCATGAAATGCTGCATTAGCAGATAATGTCAATCATGATTTATTATTGTACGTGCCTAATCTCTCGCTTCTTGAGACAATGCATATCTATAAATGGACGAGTCAACCTTTCATCCATTCAAGAGAATGAATTTTTGTCGTCTTTTCTGCGATAGAAGAGCTAGTTTGCCCATGCATTTATAGATCCTATAAGGCTAGGATTTTGTTTTACTGAAACGCAAATCTCATGTCCTTTTTTCGAGATTGATTTGACTTCATTTACTTTGAATGGATGTCCTGACTATCGATGTCTAGAACAGTTCAAACAATATAGCGACCCCTTTTTGTTGCCAAAATTTCAGCTCAAATATGTAGCTTGAAGAGTTCTACGCCCTATCGAAACGGGTAACAGAATCTGAAATTAGATTGCAGGTAATGCCAAAATTATTATTTTTGAGAACAGTATCATTTTAGAATTTTTGGCGGTACGTCCTGTTATAGTTTCAAAAAATGTATTTGCTTCGATGACATTGTATAGATAAGAATCATCTTCATAATATCTTGAGAAATTTTAGTTAGAATGGTGATCCCAAAACTCATCTATCTGATATGTATATCTCATTCCTCTTTCGCATAAAATATCTCTCTATACTATGGAGAGATGGAGACAATGCAGAATAGTCCTGTAGCAAGATTGTGCGTTAACATACACACTTTTGGTCTACACACTTGACTATAGAAAGACAGACAATAAAGTCGATTCAAATACTCACAAACGTTCGATGCAATAAATATATATATTTAGCTTATCTAAAAATCGAAATGAGCATAAAAACACTTATATTATTATCCGAGAGAGCTACTTCGAAAATGTTAATGCTCGTGCAAATGCTTTGTTTTTACTCTTTTGAAATAATTAGATTACATTGAAAAGAATTTGTTAGTTCTCCAAGAATACAAATAAGTATAGACGTCAAACAGGCGAAGAATCATGTGAGGACTGCAGTGGGACTCATAAACCTTCTTTTATTTTTATTGTTAAATCCATGAAGTCTTTGAAGTGAATGTTAGTGTTGACTAATCTTAAAAATTCCTTTGACAGTAGTGGATACCAGATCACTTCAGAGTTTTAGAGCAATATTTTCCACGCAAATATATACTTGATGAGCAGAGGCATTAACAGCAAAGAATCAAAGCAGATAAGTAGAACTATTGGCTTCAATCGTATGATCTACAAATGGTTTTGTTCAGTTTCTTCTTCAGCATTCACTAGATTGAACAATAATCGAACGATATTTTGTATTGTTTTATCTGAATGTCAAAGATATCCGAAGATTGAAACTTTGGAGTAAATTGATTATTTCTTGCCTTGATTATTTAATTCTTCGGTGCTTTTTAGTTTTTGTAAAATTTTCTCCATTCATTTGTCTTGTTTCAGGTACAGCAGTTCTGCTGTCCAACAGACGACATGTGTCGTATAGCTATAGTGTTTGTCCTTATTGGGCTTGCAGTTACTGTCTATAGTAATGCTCAGTCATATAAGTCTATAGAACGAATTGATTGTTATCCGGAACGTGAATCTCCATTTTCAAACTTTTCAAAAGAAGCATGCCTAACACGTAATTGCTTATTCGACGAGGATGCACTTCAAAATGAAATTCAATGTTATTTACGATCGAACTACGGATACATCTTAGAATCGGATATGCACCAAACAGATAATGGTATTCGTCTACGATTACAACGAAATCAAGCCGTTGCCAGTATGTTTCCTGCTCCAATCGATAATGTCATACTTGACGTACAATATTACACTGATGATATACTCAGATTTAAATTGTACGATGCGGATAATCAACGATATGAGGTTTGATCGTGAAATAATTTATTGAAATGATTCTGTATATGTTTCTTTTACTTCTAGGTGCCTATTCCATTAACTCCTTCACCTGGTCGAATATCATCGCCTCAATATGAATTTACTTATTCATCGAATTTTTCACGTGATAATATTTTTTCATTTCGAATTCAGCGTCGAATCATTGGTGCGACATTATTCGATACATCTCCTGGCGGTCTTATACTGAATAATCAATTTCTTCAAATAGTCACACGATTACAATCACCACATGTCTACGGATTCGGCGAGAATAATCATGATACATTGAAACATAATGTTGACGAACATAAAACATGGGGTATTTTTGCTCGTGATCAAGGTTAGTTTATTGAAAAAAACAGCCTATTTTTCTGTTGAATCAAGTTTTCTTTTTTGGTTCAGGTACCAATTGGGATACCAATGCTAATCATTATGGTTCGCATCCATTTTATCTTGTTATGGAACAAATACCAAATTCAGCACAAGCTCCATCGGGTAACATGCATGGTGTTCTCTTGCTCAATTCAAATGCAATGGATTATTCATTTTCATCAATGCCATCATTAACAATGCGTACCATAGGTGGTATTCTTGATTTTTTTGTATTTCTCGGTCCGAAACCAGAACAAGTCATTCAGCAATACACATGGCTTGTTGGTCGATCAATTCTTCCGCCGTATTGGTCACTCGGTTTTCAACTTGCACGTTGGGACTATTCGAATTTGACACATATGCAAAATGTTGTCAAACGAAACCGTGATGCTGGAATTCCACTAGATGTTCAATATGCTGATATTGATTATATGGATGCAAAAAAACTTTTCACTATTGACCCAATCAATTATCGTGGATTAAAAGAGTATTTTGCTCAATTGAATGCTGAAGGAATTAGAACTATTATTATACTTGATCCTGGTCCAATTGATGATCAAGTTTATTATGCACCAACAATTGAAGGTATTCAAGAAGATGTTTTCATCAAATGGGACGATGGACAAACACCTGTGAAAGGTACTTGTTGGCCAGGTGATATTTTCTTTCCAGGTTAGTATTTTCAATTTCATTTCATTTAAAAAATCGAATTCAAATAATAGTTATCAGATGACTTGTCAGTTTTAATTTCTTATCGCTTTAAGCCCCCCCCCCCCCCCCCCCCCCCCCCCACTACCCCCCCACCACACGCCCAACGACGCCCGCCACGACACGACAACATGCCGTGCAGAGCGACC